AACGACCAGCCCTGAAACTCAGGCACCGAACCAGGGTTTCGGGAACAGGCTATTCTTAGCCTGTTCCCACGCCAGCCTCAGCAGCTGCTGCAGCGCCAGCCCCTGGCACACTTCGGCATTGGCAAGAGCAGCCTCCTCGGCCTGGCTCGCCCTTCAGGCAGTCAGGAGGCAGGCCGAGGTAGTACATAGGGACTTCCCATGCACTTCACGGGCAGGCAGGAGGCAGTAGTAGTCTTCAAGATTCGGCGGCAGCACTCTGGAGGGAGCGCTGCTAGCCTTAGTCTTCAGCGCTGGGCGCAGTAGGTAGCTGTGGTCTCCAGCGCTGGGCGCCATAGCTAGGACAGCACTAGAGAGAGAGAGAGATTGGGCGGAGGCCTTGGGTACCTACCTGCAGTGCCGTTGCTCCAGCTTCGTCTTCGAGGTACCTGCAGCACAGCGCCAACTTCACAGGTTAGTACCTGGCTCGTAACAGGGAAAGAGAGAGTTCTTCTTCTTCCTCTTCTCAGTCCACCATCTCCCTCTCGCCCTCTCATCATCTGACTTACTGCATCAGCAGACTACGAGAGAAGAGAGAGAGAGCTTGGTGACATGGGATCCGGACTCGACTTTTGGCTTCAGACATGGCAACGAGGGACTATTTGGAACTTGTGACAAAGACTTGGTGTTGATGACATTCCCATCTCTCTCCCTCCTTTCGTCTGATCCCCTCCTCTTCGTCTGTGTATGTCTGGACCTGGCGCTTTCTTCCTGTGTACAGCGCCAGGATCCTTCACACCTTGTGATGGATACGATGTATGTTTGGTCTGCGTTCAAACATTGATTGGGCTAGTCATTAGCATTCTAGCATTCTGCTTCGCTATCTGATACTATGTTAATGAGGTCAGTCCCGGTCAGGTCAGGATTTGTATCTAAGTCTTCCCTGCGCTATTCAGCACCATTTTGTATGTATTAGAATGCATATTGCTTGTTGAGTTTCTACTTGCACTGCATTGTCCATTCAGTCCTTTTTATCACATTGTGGATCCTCGGTTTCTATGTATATCGCCCAACTGGGCAAGTAACAGTTGGTATCGTAACGCCGCAGGTGAATCAGGACAACCTGATCTGACACGTGTGCGGGGACTAGGTAGCTGTCTAGACTTTATTGATTGATTAGAGCATACTAGTCGGACCCCAAAATCACGATTTTGACCTTACTGCCGAAAATCGAAATTTTTTTTCTTTCCTTGGATTTTGTTTTCTCGCTATTTCGGTTGTGGAAAATCGTAATAGCACAACATCTGAAATTTCCATTTTCGTTTTCCTTCTGAAATTTCAAAATTTCGTTGTTGAAATCCGGAATATCCTTCTTTTCGAAAATTTCGATTTCCTGTTGCATTTCCCGTTACTTAGAAATTTGGAATATCTTTTTTTTTCAAATTTCGTTTTTCTGAAAATGGTACGGGAAATCCCTCCTGCAGGTATTATTTTTCAAACTGCGAATACTCTCATCTGAGTAAATCCGAATTTTTGTCATTTCTTTTCGGAAAATTTTTCGCAGTTCTAGGATTCTGTCAGTCAGTTCTATAAATCATTTGCAGTCTGAAGTTGAATTTTTTTTCTCTCATTGATCATTTCGCACTTCAAGGGAGGTTGGGAGACCTACTGAACTTGCAAAACTCGGGATTTTATTATTTCGATTTTTTTTTTTTTGCAAAGTTCAAACTTTTCTTGTTTGATTAGTGGCTCTTTATCTGGGCTATTCTCCGCACCCACCCTCCCCACCTATGTTGTTGCACCCTCTGGCCTTACCTTCTCTATCCATCTCCGGGTACCCCCTGTGACGGCATTGGTGAGTTGCCACGTCAGCAGGCCTACACGCCAGCAGACCACGTCAGCAGGCCACGTCAGCAGGACACGTCAGCAGGCCACGTCAGCAGGCCCCCGGCCCGGTCTATGCTGTTGCGGTCACATACAACCGTCATGGACCAGAGGTCCGGAGAAGCAGACGAGGCCTATCAGGCCCGGATGCTGGCTTGGAGTACCGAAACAAAGAAATGGGCAGATGACGCAGCAGCAGCAGCGAAGAAGAAGGCAGAGGACGCCGAGCAGGCACGTCTGCTGGCAATTGAACAACAGCGCCAGCATGACGAGGCAGCAGCAAGGGCTGCCGATGAAGAAAGAAACCAACGTCGTGAGAAGATATTTAGCGGAGATCAGACCTTGCTCACAATGGCAGTGGAATGGCGGACCGAGGCCGAGAATGGCAAGTTGGAGGATTGCGAAAACAAGATCGCTCTCCTCCTCTCGCATCTCACAGACCTCCTGGCAACCTGCATTACACAGCAGGAGGATATCCACAGCCTCGACGACTCGCTAGCTCAAGTACAAGGCCGCCTCCAACAGCTGGAGCAGCGACCCGTCGCCGCCCCCGATGCAAGTTTTTCCAATACCTCCGATCGCCTCGAAGCATTGGAGATGGACGTCGGCTCCCTCAAGGACGGCGTGCAATTACAGCAGACCGCATCGCAACAATTGCAACAGCGGATCTGTACTACCGCCAACACCTCAAGTTCGGAACCGCGCGAGACAGCTCCAAAGTTTGACCGGCAGAAGATCTTCTGCAACTCGACAAAGACAGATCCGATTCCATGGTTCCGCAAGTTCGAGCTCACGCTGCAGCTACACAACGTTAAAGAACACAAGCACCACGCATACTTGTACTCTCGCTCAAGGGGCGTGTGCCAGGCTTGGTTGGACAATCTCTTGTCCAAGTACGGAGTGGTAGCTAACGACTTGCATACCAAGATCAACTGGGATGATCTGAAGGCGGCGTGGCACAAGCGGTTTCAAGTCGAGCTGCCGGAGATCAAGGCTATGAACAAGCTCATGGTCTTCGAACAAGGCACACTGCCGAGTATCGACTGGATCGCCGAGTACCAACGCTTGACGTCAGTCCTAGACATCCAGATGGACTTCAAAGCCATCCGACACTATTTCATCTCAAGGTCCTGTCCGACATTAAGTAATGCCCTGACTCACGTCGAGGACACCTTGACGACGACGGCGGAACTTTTTGACAAGGCCGCACAGATCATCATTATGAACAAGGAGGCTAAGAACCTGCGTTCGTCTGCGGCAGGCCCGAGCAGAGACCAGCATCGACCAAGAGTGGTTGTGGTCGCGGCGGCAATGCCGTTTGACCAAACTAGCGAGGTTGTGCCTGCCAGTGAAGGGGACAGACTCGCACCCCCCCCGGAAGGTGGCCGCCCTGGCAGAGGCCGAGGACGCGGCAAGACGAAGACACACACCGCATCTAGCCCCGGGCCCGGCGCAGCAGCTCCAGCCCCTTGGTCCCAATACGGCATCTCCGAGCAAGCCTTCAAAGCACGCACGAGATTCCGCTATTGCTTATGGTGCAACAGCGATCTCCATGAGACGCTGGCCTGCCCATTGAAAGGCAAGGGCAAACAGGGAAACTGAGCACCGCCGAGAGTGACTCGACAACACTCTCGACGCCTCCGGAACCGGTTTCTTCGCGAGTAACCGACCTTCATTCTGAGGCGCACGCGGAAGTCGATAGTCCTCGTCTTACTTATTCTTTTGAGGACTATGCTGCCCGGCTCGTTCTTACGCTGGGTACTCAAACTCAAGGACAAGACGTGTGTGCGGCATCTTCTCCGTTCGGCAGCGGCGACTTATTGTCTTCAAGTGGTTCTTCACGGGATTCGGCGCGCGAGTTCAACATAGAGGTATTGGACCCGCTCACGTCCGAGGACTTTGCATGGCTTCCTCTCCCGACCACAGGCCACTTGCCGGGACCGCAATGCGCAGCACTATGCGCTCATCTTCACACTTACTGATCCTTCTATGCACCACCAACTTCGTCGATGGATGACGAAGTTGCGGTGGGGGACATCCTTGCGTATACTACCAAGGTGGCCCGCGAGTTTCGCACGCAGCAATACGATGACAACAATGCACCGCTCATGTATGTCCGCATCCAGGTTGGGCAAGCGTCTTGCAGCGCTTTGCTGGATAGCGGCGCGTCTCGCAATTTCATGAGCCAATCCTTTATGCAAAGGGCTGGCCTTGGCGCACAAGTTCGGAGGAAGGCAAACTCGATGGCGATCAAGTTGGCGGACGAGAAAACGCAGCAACTTCTCGACCGATACATCAAGGCCGTACCGGTTTATTTCGCACCTCATGGATGCGAACCGGTGACGTTCAACATTCTCGACGCGGGCTTCAACATCATTCTAGGAATGTCGTGGCTTGCAAGTGCGGATCACACAGTCAACTTCCACCGGCGGACTCTTAGCGTTCGCGACGCCTTCGGCGCCGAAGTGGCGTGTACTATTCCTTTACCGCACCCTTTGATTCGGTGCCAAGTGGTGACAGCCAAATCATTCCGGGCGACTTGCGCTTACGAGCAGCCCGAGGAGATCGGCCTATGTTTCCTACGGACCGTCGCGGTGGCCGACGCTTCACCCACGAACTTGTCCTCGGACCCCCGGGTGGTGCGGTTGCTGGACGAGTTCGCCGACATCTTCGAGTCACCTACCGGTGTGGTGCCGGACCGGCCGATCTCTCACGAGATCATTCTTGAGGCCGGTGCCGTGCCGCCGAAAGGTTGCATCTATCGGATGAGCGAGGAGGAGCTTGAGGTCCTCCGCGCAGAACTCGACGATTTGTTGGCCAAGGGCTGGATCCGCCCTAGTAGCTCCCCATATGGAGCACCGGTTCTCTTCGTCCGGAAGAAGAATCAGGATCTACGATTGTGTATCGACTGCCGCAAGCTCAACGTGCAAACCGTCAAGAATGTGGGGCCTCTTCCTCGCATCGACGATCTTCTTGAGCGATTGGGCGGTGCAAGGTATTTTTCTAAGCTGGCTTTGAAATCGGGATATCATCAAATCTCGATCCGTCCGAATGATCGCTACAAATCCGCGTTCAAGACACGGTATGGGCATTTTGAGTGGGTGGTCATGCCTTTTGGCCTCACCAACGCCCCGACGACCTTTCAAGCGGCAATGACCAACGAGTTCCGTGCAATGTTGGACCGGTTCGTGCTGGTCTACTTAGACGATATTCTCGTCTATAGCCGGACTTTGGAGGATCATCTTGGGCATTTTCGACGAGTGTTGGAGACGCTCCGCCGCGCCAAGTACAAGGCTAACCGCGACAAGTGCGAATTTGTCCGGCAAGAGCTGGAATACTTGGGCCATTTTGTCACACCGGAGGGCATCAGTCCGCTATCGGACAAGATTCAAGCCATCCAAGAGTGGCCGGAGCCTCGCAACGTCACGGATGTCCTTTCGTTCCTTGGCCTTGCCGGCTATTACCAACGTTTTATCAAAGGTTACTCGAAGATCGCGGCCCACTTGACCAAGCTTCAATGCGAGGATCGGCCGTTTGACTTCGGAGAGGAGGCGCGAGAACCATTTTTGGCTCTCAAAGCCGCGTTATTATCTGCGGAGGTCTTGCACATATACGACCCGCTTTTGCCTATGCACGTCACTACTGATGCGTCCGGCTATGGCATTGGTGCCGTCCTCGAGCAACATGATGGTGTGGACTGGCACCCGGTCGAGTATTTCAGCAAGAAAGTGCCTGTCGTGCATTCCATTGACGATGCACGCAAAAAAGAGTTCCTCGCCTTCGTTCACGCGCTCAAGCGGTGGTGGCACTTCCTCCTTGGTCGAAGCCAATTTCGATGGGTAACGGACAACAATCCGTTGGTCTTCTATAAGACCCAAGACACCGTCAACAGCACCATCGCTCGATGGATGACTTTCATCGACCAGTTCGACTTCTTTCCCGATCACATTCCCGGGAAGTCGAACCGTTTTGAGGATGCTCTTTTACGGCGTCCGGATCATTGTACCGCGGTCTACTCAACCTTCGAGATTGACGATGACCTGCGGAACAGCTTCATCCGCGGCTACCAAGCCGACCCCGAGTTTCGCGACAAGTATGCGAATTGCTCCTCTCCTAATCCCGCGCCTTCTCACTACCGGATCCAAGAGGGGTACTTGCTTGTCCACACACGGGGGAAGGACCTTCTTTGCGTACCGAGTGATCCTCACTTGCGTACACGGCTTCTTGGCGAGTTCCACGATGCTCCCGCCATTGGATACTTTGGAGTCAATCGCACGATTGGCCGACTTCGCGAGCGATTTTGGTGGCCCGGCCTTCTCGGCGATGTCACGCGCTATTGCGAGTCATGTGAGGTTTGTCGACGCTGCAAATCCCGCAACCATCGTCCGTACGGCGAGTTACGACCATTACCGGTCCCGTTGAGGCGAAGGGAAGCGATTGCCATAGGCATTACCGGCCCATTCCCCAAGCACAAGACCGAAGTGGATGGGATTCTCACGGTGGTCGACCGACTCACCAAGTTCGCCATGTTTTTGCCTTGTCGCTATCATGCGAAGGCACTAGAGTTGGCCGAGGTTCTTTACGCCGGTTGGATTCGAACCAAGGGTTGCCCCAAGGAGATCGTCTGCGACCGCGACACTCGGTTCATGTCCGATTTTTGGTTGGCGCTCATCAAGCGATGGGGCTCATCTCTCAAGCCCAGTTCAGCTCGCCACCCTCAGACCGATGGCCAAACGGGAAGGGCGCACCAGACCGCACAGGTTCTCCTTCGCACTCTCATCCGTCCTGACGAGCAGGACTGGGTTGAGCGGCTGCCGGATGTCGAGTTGGCCTACAACTCTTCCATCCACCCGACTATTGGGATATCACCTTTCAAGTTCGAGCACGGCTTGCCGGTCACTTCACCGTTGGACATTATCACTCCAGGAACGGCCGAGAGCGACGACCATCTTCTTTTCTTCTGTCGGATGCAAGAGCTTCTTGTCAAGGCATGCGGCCAGATGGCTAAGACGCAGCAGCGCATGAGCCAGCAGGCCAATCGCCAGTGTCTTCCTTGCCCATTCCGCGCTGGCGACCTCGTTTGGGTTTCCGCAACAGAATTCAGCCTTGAACAAGACATCTCTCGCAAGCTCCTCCCGAAATGGATGGGGACTTGGTCGATCGTAGCACCCTCTAGAGACGCACCCGAGGGACCTTCCTTCACGATTCAGGTGCCCGCCCACTTGCCCGTCTACCCAGTCTTTCATTGCTCCAAGTTGGCTCTTTACACGCCAGCGGAACATGACGATTTTCCCGGGAGACGTTCGCAAGACCCACCCTCCATGGATGGTTTTCAGGAGGTCGGCGACATCATCTCCCAGCGACGCTACGGAAACAGGCCAACCGAGTATTTAGTGAATTTTGCATACTGCACACACCGAGATGACCGTTGGTTGACCCGTGCGGAACTTCAAGCAACAGCTCTAGACGTTCTCGCACGCTACGAACGCAAGATGCAAGGCAAGCCGGTTTCTTTGGCTCCACGCCGCGCCCGCGTTCAGGTTCCACCTTCAGATCGTCGGCTTCGCCCTCGCCCCGGCTTGACTTCATAAGGAGGGGGGGGTGTTACATGCTGCGCCTGCACACGAGGGCCATTTTCCAGGCCCTGTGTCCCTCAGGCTGAAAGCCTGAAATTCAGGCTTAAAGCCTGAAAACCAGGGCCTACAGGCCCCGTGACTGTTCAGCCCGAAAGCCTGAAAACAGGGGCCTACAGTCCCTGTGTCGTTTCAGACTAAAAATGGCAATAGCCTTTTTAGCCTGAAACGAAGGGCCATTTTCGATCGTTCATCAGAACGACTGGCCCTGAAACTCAGGCACCGAACCAGTGTTTCGGGAACAGACTATTCTTAGCTTGTTCCCACGCCAGCCTCAGCAGCTGCTGCAGCGCCAGCCCCTGGCACACTTCGGCATTGGCAAGAGCAACCTCCTTGGCCTGGCTCGCCCTTCAGGCAATCAGGAGGCAGGCCGAGGTAGTACATAGGGACTTCCCATGCACTTCACGGGCAGGCAGGAGCTAGTAGTAGTCTTCAGGATTCAGCAGCAGCACTCTGGAGGGAACGCTGCAGGAGTAGTAGTAGCGTTAGCCTTAGTCTTCAGCGCTGGGCGCAATAGGTAGCTGTAGTCTCCAGCGCTGGGCGCCATAGCTAGGATAGCACTAGAGAGAGAGAGATTGGGCGGAGGCCTTGGGCACCTACCTCCAGCACCGTTGCTCCAGCTTCGTCTTTGAGGTACCTGCAGCACAGCGCCAACTTCACAGGTTAGTACCTGGCTCATAACAGGGAAAGAGAGAGTTCTTCTTCCTCTTCTCAGTCCACAAGCTCCCTCTCGCCCTCTCATCATTTGACTTCACTGCATCAGCAGACTACGAGAGAAGAGAGAGAGAGCTTGGTGACATGGGATCCAGACTCGACTTTTGGCTTTAGACATGGCAACGAGGGATTATTTGGGACTTGTGACAAAGACTTGGTGTTGACGACATTCCCATCTCTCTCCCTCCTTTCGTCTGATCCCCTCCTCTTCGTCTGTGTATGTCTGGACCTGGCGCTTTCTTCCTGTGTACTGCGCCAGGCTCCTTCACACCTTATGATGGATACGATGTATGTTTGGTCTGCGTTCAAACATTGATTGGGCTAGTCATTAGCATTCTAGCATTCTGCTCCGCTATCTGATACTATGTGAATGAGGTCAGTCCCGGTCAGGTCAGGATTTGTATCTAAGTCTTCCCTGCGCTATTCAGCACCATTTTGTATGTATTAGAATGCACATTGCTTGTTGAGTTTCTACTTGCACTGCATTGTCCATTCAATCCTTTTTATCACATTGAGGATCCTCGGTTTCTATGTATATCGCCCAACTGGGCATGTAACATCTGCAGACTACTTTGTGACATTTTGATCCTTTTTTCATATTCTTGTTGCTTTTTTTTATTATTATTATTACCATAACTTCCTTGTTCTTGTCGCTTTCAGGCTTCCCAGGGATAAGCAACCGGACTGACTCCCACCGAGAATCTAAAGAGCGTTGTCTCTTCTGCAAGGAACGTGAGCGATAGCGAACTTCAGAAATCAAACAGCATCATACACATGAGACCAGATAGTCGTGACATCGAACCAATAACAGACTTGCATCACGAGTTCCACCAAATAAGAACACAGCAAAAGCTCATAATTGACAATGCTGGAATAGCCTATCATCATTAACGAAGAACCAATGTCAATATCTTATCTGGCGCTCGGCGCCCAGACTACAGATGGCAGATCCTATCTAGCCTAATCTACAATGCCGCCAATGACATCAACAGCTCCCCGAAGTACGAGCAGATCTCGACCAATGCCGTACGCTTCAAGCACCAGGTATGTCTCTCGTATCACTCACAACCTCGTTCCCCAAGTCACAGACGCCACGTGCACCCAAGGACCACCATGTGCCCCATCCAGCATACAGCAGCGCAGCTCAGCTATGGCTGCCTGCTCCTTCCAGCTCGTCCTTGAGCGCGTGAGCGCTGGCCAGCGTTAGCGCAGCAGCGCTTGCGCAGCATGCAACCAGTGCCCAAATGACCAATGCATGGGCAGGCCCTTCCCTATATCGAAGTGGCCTGCTGCTGGATGTGGTGATGTGGTACTGGGCCCCGACCCAGAAGCTTCTGGTAGGCCCCACGAGGCTGAGCCTTAGTCCAAAGGAAACAGGCCCAGGCCTGTGGTAGTTACCAGCGCCCAACTGCCCTCAGCCTTTGTTCGGTCCATTGTGTATCCGGCCCAAGGCCTGCCTCAGTTACATACAATGAAAGGCAGCCTGGGCCTGGGCGCTTCCAACCAACTGGCGCTGCGCAAATACCTGAATTTCCCCAGTTGCGTGGTGTCCAAAGGGGCCCCTTGGCCTGAGTCGAGCCTGCCTTCACTTAGGGCGGCCGACAACACTGCAGGCAAGGCCAAAAGGTTGCATCGGGGCCTTAGGCCTCGCATTCCCTCCTCCATACTTCGATAGTCCTCTGAGAAGTTCAGTCTTCGATAATCTGGCGCTTTCCCTTCTGCATAGACTTCTCATAATGAGCGACAACCTGTGGAGCGGCCTGCATCAGTTCCTCCTATGTGGACCATCTATCGTCCTTTGGATCAGTGTGATGTCTGAACCAAACTCGGTACTGCAGCTTCGGTTTTGGAGGACGTCCTCTGCCTGTCGGTCTTGGAGCTGGCATTTCCCTGTGATCAACGATGTCGTCGATGTCGACCTCTCCATCCATGGTTGGGGGCAGCGTAGAGCGACGAGAGGGAAACTGATCAGTTTCTTTGGACGGTGCAAGTTTAGAAGCGTGAAAAGAAGGGTAAGTACATAAGTGACCAGGGATGCGAATAACATATGATGGTCCATCCGGTTCATCTCCTATAACATCTAAAACGTCCCATGGTCCAAAGTACTGTGGCATGAGCTTGCGGGAGATCACGTGCTCGTGTCCCAGCTCTGAGGACTTGACCCAGACTCTCTCTCCTACCTGAAACGTAGACGGGCGATGGTGCTTGTTCTCAGATTCTATCATCGCTGCCCGAGCCTTGTGCATTTGTTCAACAACCTGCTGCATCAGACGCTCATAACGATAAGCAAATTCTAAGGTTCCTGGTGCAGCAGAGGGTTGGCTCTCAGGTAGTAAGAAATCTAAGGGCAATCTAGGCTTGAAGGTCAATAGCAGATTGTTCGGGCTCACTCCCGTTGCGTTGTGCACAACGTTATTGTACAGAATGGCGATGAAAGCATTTTTTCTCATCCCAGTGTGCCTGATTAGGCTTGATGTAGTGCCTCAACAGGTGTTGTACAATGCAGTTCAACTGCTGTGCTTGCTCATTCGCCTCTAGATGGTTCCCTGATGTCATCTGCAGCTGCGGCTTTCCACAGTTCACTAGTGAATCGCACATCACGGTCACTGACTGTAGATTTTGGCAGTCCAAAATCTCTGACCAGTTCTCTTTGAACAGCTTAATTACGTACTCAGTCTTAGCTGTGCAGGCATCGCGACTAACCTAGCGTTCTTACTAAATCTATCCACAATGACGTAGACATAGCGCATTCCACTCTTGCTGGTGACTAGCGTATCCATGAAGTCCATGGACAAGCTCTCACTAGGCGTTTCTGGAATCGGAAGGGGCTTTAGAAGCCCAAGAGGAGCTTGTGTACGCGGCTTGTCCCTCTGACAGACCTGACAAGTTTCCACGTACAGCTTGGCGTCTCTCATCATCGTGGGCCATCAGAACCGCTCCAGCAGATTGGCTGCTGTCTTTTTGTAGCCAAAATGTTTGGTGGCATCGTGACACTTGCCTAAAATAAACTACGCAAAGACTCTCTCACACACAATCGCTTATTCCCGGCCTTCTCAAGGAACAACAGACCGTTTACCAACTCAAACTCGGCAGAAGTCACCTTGTCCTTCGCCTGGAGTCCGCGTATGATCTCGGACATGAACTGGTCCTCGCAGTAGGCTTCCACCAAAGAGCGAGTGACATCGTCCGCCAGCAGATTGGCTGCTGTCTTTTTGTAGCCAAAATGTCTGGTGGCATCGTGACACTCGCCTAAAATAAACTACGCAAAGACTCTCTATCCGGCACACACAATCGTTTATTCCCGGCCTTCTCAAGGAACAGCAGACCGTTGACCAACTCAAACTCGGCAGAAGTCACCTTGTCCTTCGCCTCGAGTCCGCGTATGATCTGGAACATGAACTGGTCCTCGCAGTAGGCTTCCAGCCTTCCACCAAAGAGCGAGTGACATCGTCCGCAAGCTCGGACTCAGTGATCAGCGCACCAGAGAAGTCAGGCCTACGCGATAAGGCATCAACAACTTTGTTGTACTCCCCTTTCAGATACTGCGGTTCGGAGTCATACTGTTCAATGACTTCGATCCAACGCTTCAATGCATCGGAAAGCACTGGTTGGGTTCTCATCCACTTCAGGGTATGATGGTCAGTCCTAACGATGAAGAACCTCCCAAGGAGGTATGTCTCCAATGGGTCAGTGCCTTGTAAATCGCGTAGAGCTCCTTCTCATAGGTAGACTTAACCAACTTCTGAGATGATATTTTTTTGGACATGTCTTCGACTGACCTCAACTTTGGCCTCTCCTGCTGTGCGAGCACGACACTAATGCCATATTGGCTGACATTCGTGGTTACTATGAACGGCTTGTCAGGATCAGGAAGTCTTAAGACCTCATGGTGTGTCAACGCATACTTCAGATGTCTGAAAGCAGCCTCACACCTGTCTGTCCACTGCCACGGGGTGTCAAGGCGAGTCAGGTCAGTCAAAGGGGTGACCACTATACTATAATTCTTAACAAAGTTACGGTAGTAGCCGGTCATCCCTAAGAAAGACCTCATCTCAGTCACAGACTGAGGATGCGGCCAGTCACGAATGTTGGCCACCTTCGCGTCATCGGGCTTCAAACCCTCCGCGGAAATCTCATGACCCAAGTACAAGATCCGGGTGCGACCAACTCGCATTTCTCCCCGTTGATCTTGAACTTCTGCCGAAGGAGACAGAGGACTTTGTCTAAGTGCGCAACATGCTCCTCAACAGTCCTACTAAAAATAAGTATATCATCGAGGTACACAATGATAAACTTATCCAAGTAGTCATGAAAGATCCGATTCATA